GTGACTCAAAAATTTATTTAAATGCTAAGACCTAGTATACTAATTTGTTTTATGAATATTTAACAAATATTTCTATCTTTCCAAAACTAGGAATATTTTTTATTGACTATATATATAATTCGTGTAATTGAATGAATTCACCAACTGCGTGGAATCTCAATGACAAGTCTGCGTTTTTGCGCGTAGATTCTGAAGGACTTAGAGCGAGTTATGAAGGTACTAAGATTTTTGTCGAAATTCCATAAAATACATACAAATATGGTATATTGAATGCCACTAAGATTACATAACTTTTTTTGCTTGATTATTACATTACATCTTTTGTAAATCTAAGGTTTAGGTGAAACTGATGAAGAGTGTGTTACAATACGAGCAAACAATTCAATTCCTCCACAATGTATATTGTTTTATTTTGAAATCGAAATCCTTGATGGAGGGAAAGATGGGTATGATAAATAAATTTTCGTAATATAGCAGATTCATTTAAATTTTGCTTATAATTTTTTGTTATAATTCTTTCAAAAAAGAGCTATCGGAATCGGGATTTGCGAAAAGACTGTTGATTTAAATATGATGCCCGGTAGTTTGAAAAATTTTTAAGCATAATGAGTAGTGTTAAGTGAAAAACCTGTAAATTAATTACCTTATCAGACTCATCCCATGAAAAAAAATTGATACCAATAAGCAATTGAAACATGCATATATATAATCTTCTAGCATTTGATAATGACAATATAATTATAACATTTATAAATTAGATGTTAAAAATGACTTAAACAATCCCGAGTTCGCTAGGGTGAAAAAATTCATGAATTATAGGTTTTTTTTTCAGCACTGCTCATATTAAACATATCTAGTGGATATATTATTTACTATTAAACTTATATAAATAGGGTGGAATAATAATTCATTGGGTTACCATGGTGATGATGGGAATTTTTTTTGTTGTTCAGGATCTGGCGAGACATACGGACCGTTGTTTACTACCGGCGATACTATCGGATGCTGCCTAAATTTTAAATATAAAACTGTATTTTTTACAAAAAATGGAGTGCATTTAGGTAATTTAATTTCAACATGATAGCATTAAAAAATATTTGTATTTATTGGAATTTAACATTTTATACCATATTTTAAGGAATTGCCTACAAGGATGTATACCGTAATTTTAAGTTAGAAGAAATTGCAAAAAATTGTGCACTATATCCTTGTGTTGGACTGAAATCACAAGGTGGATCTGTTGAAGTAAATTTTGGTCATAAAAAATTTAAATATGAAGGTAACTTAACACCAAAGGAATTGTGTCCACATATTCTTTATTTATCATTTGTTTATTTATTTTTACGAACAGCATTTACTAATTATGGCATTGAGAAAGAAATACTAAAAGAAAAATGGAACAGAGCATTAAACATGTACGATTATGAATTATTAAATAACCAAGCAGACACTCTTGCAGAATTAATAGAATTATCGAAAGCCGAACCGATATCTAGAGGGAAAGCATATTTTGTCATGGGCCAATATGAAGAAGCACTCTCGGATTTCGAAGGATTACTAGAAATTGAGCCAAACAATATATTCGCTCTAAGATTTCGAGGGGAAACATACTATATGATGGAAAGATATAAAGAATCACTTAAAGATTTTGAAAAGTTATTAAGAATAAATCCAAATGATGAGTGGACATTAAAAGCCTGCGAAGAAGTAGCCAGGGAGTGAGTATTTGTTGGATTATTATTAAATTTAATTTCACATCTATATGAATAATTTCTTTGCCAATTCCATAAATTAGATTGTGAGTATAAATTTGAAGTTAATTAGCATTAAATATAATTTCCAATCGTTATAAACATGGATTTCATAATACCAGAGGGTGTGTATCAAGTTTCCTAAAATAGTTAACATTTCATAATGACTAATTTTCTCTTATTTCATTAGGCGGTAAGTAATTAACTATAGAGTAGTTAATATGATTTAGATCTATTTTAAGCAATTAATATTAATTACTTTTATATGACTACATATTAATTACTTTTATATGACTACTTAAATC